TGATTCTGTGATATGCATCCCTTAAATGTAAATTTAACTGTCCATTTTCTGGACAAATATTGTTTAATTTCTTCTCGCGTTCATTGCAATAACCAGCCCAGAGCAGGCAGAGGGGCTCAGCACACCCTGAACTCGTAACACAGAGTTTTACATTAATTGCAAGGCTTCAAGCGCTCTGCAGAACCGATTTTATTTTATTTTTTTCCCCTTTGCTCCCTGCGTGGACAAAAGCCAAGCTTTATAAATCAACTGTGTAAACAGCAATATCCTTCAACGTGATTATTACTGCAAAAAAAGAGGCTGTCATTTTCAGAGGCAGAAAACCTGTTTAATCTGGAGACACCGGCTCTGCTGCCAGGCGCTGGTTACCGGAACATTTTTCTTTCTTCTGCCCTAAGTTTCAGAGTAAAAATAAAAATATTGAAGGCATTGATGTGAGACCCGTGGAGGAATCTCTCCCTTCCACGAAAGGTCCTGACCAGTGCCAAGAGGAGAGCAGGGAACCTGGGAAACGCAATGGATGAGAAGAGGTTACACAAATGTGGTGTTTAATCCAGGACAAAGAAAGGCTTTTGCTTGGCATTTGTGAGGCAGTCATTTATTTTCTTAGAGACTGTTTGAGGTCCCTCCAAAAAGAGCATGAGTAAGGTTTGGCATTTCCTAGCAGCTCTGGAAAGGCTGTGGCCGCATTTTCCCCCCTCGCTGCATGGGGCTCCACGTGAAAGTGTGGGATGGGGACCAGTGCTGTGATGGGAGGGGATGGGATGGGATGGGATGGGATGGGGATAGAGATGGGATGGGGTAGAGGTTGGGGATGGGATGGGGAGCTCCAGGAAGGCTGGTCTGGAGGATCCCAGCGCTGGAGGGTGACTCAGGAGAGCTGGACGCTGTTCAGGTTCATGCTGGGACAGCAGCAAACCTCTCTGTGTCTCCTCACTGGTCCTTGCTAGCAGATCCTCCCAGCACAGCACCAGCTGCACTTGTAAATCCTCCCTGCTCCTGCTATGGGGGCAGCCCTCACTCCCCAATAACCCTTATCCCGCCTCTTCATCCCTCAGGGTGCAGAATATACTAATTAAATGCAAAATAAAATATCACTCTGCAGTCTGTTTTAATCACCTGCTAGTTCTGCTTAACACCACCAATATAAAAATATTCCCAACATAAGTCATCTGCAAGCGATTTGAGTTCTCCCTTACATAACCCAGGTCCACCTACAGCTATAAAGATCATTTTGGTTCCTATTTAATTCTGCAAAGAGGTGCAAAAACCCTTTTGCCATCATGAAGGCTGTCTCCTGCCTCTGATCCGGGGCTCCCAGCAGAGCATTTCGGAGCTGGAGCAGAGATGCAGGACCTTCCTGAGGACCTTGGCCGAGATGTCCCCTCCCCGGCTGGAGGCTTTGAAGGGGTTTTGAAGTAGCAAAGTGGCTCCTAAGGTGCTCTTGCATCTCATCCTTCCTTATGTAGGGCAAAATAACCCCAAAAGGCATGAAAGTGTGGACTGGTGATGTGTGGGAGTGCTGGGACTGGTGCGGGGCAGGCAAGAGGACTGCAGGGGGGAATATGTAAGGCACTGAGTTGTGCCCTGAAGCAGGAAAGGGCACTGTGAGAGGACAAAAATCACCTTTTCCCCCTTGATGTGCTCTGGACAATCAAAAGCGTTGCTTTGCTGTCTGAGACTTAGGGCAGGAAAGATGCTGTGTTATATAGGAAACTCATCTCTGATAACCTCCTTCTTTTATAATTAAATGGAGGCAGTTGCAAAACAGAAAAAGAAAAAAAGAAAGGAAAAAAACCCTCCAAATAATAAAAAACCCCGAAGTTAGAGCCCAAACCCGGTTTAAAATAAAGCCACCAATGTCCTTTTTTGCAAGCACAAGGATGGAAATGACCGAGTTTGCAATTCCAGCTCAGAAAGCGCAGGCACTGACATCAGTCAGCAGTGGCGCAGCGCTGCTCTGCCCGGTGCTGGGGAGGTGTGCGAGGTTTGGGATGCTCCAAAACCCCCTGAACCCCTCAAACACCCCTTTGTCTGCTCCGTGCTGTCCCTTGGACAGGAGCAGTCTCTTCTGTGTCCCACATTATCTCCCAGCTAAGGGGTGACCCTGGGCAAGACCAGACTGCACAGCTCCTCTGAAGATGCCCTCTGCTCAGCATCCTTGGTCTCCACGCCTCCCATCCCGCACAGAGCCCAGCTGTAATCACTGCAATTAGCCATAGTTATCCGTAATTCAGTCCAAATTAATGTGAAATAGTGGCAACTTGCTGTCTAGCCATAGAAGAGTGCAAAATGATGCGAGCAAATAGGTAGTGATGGGAGAAGACTGTAAAGATGCTGAGGACGTGTCACGGCTGTGCTGGTGTCTGCCCTTTCCCACTTGTAGGATGTGAAACTCCTCGCATCCTGCCCTGGAAGTTTGGGGCAAGGTGTTATCCCCTAAACCTGGGAAACAGGAAGGGAAAACAGCAGCACAGCGCCTTCCCAGCCCCAAATCTGCTCCAGAAGAAGCAAAGAGCCACCCGTGTGTTCCTCAGCACAGAGGCACATGGGACAGGGAGGTGACATCTCCTGGCACTGGGCTGTCCCCTGGCACCCTCAGCACCACTGCACGGCCAGTTGCCATTGCTGCACCCCTTCAAGGGGCTTCTGCCACGTCTGCACCTCATGCACAAACCCCAGAGCTTTTATTATGGGTTTGGGTTGTCAGGACTTTTTTTCCCTCTCCTTTCTCCTGCCTAAAAAGATGCCGAAACCTCCAAAAAAGAAAAATTATTTCCATGTGATCCCAGCACTTTCTGTCTTGGCTGGAGCACTGGATGTGGTTTTGGGTCTGTGGTTTTTTTTTTTTTTATTTTTCTGTTTTTTTAATTCACAATTTTTTTGGTCTTCATTTCCATCATTGTGAGAGGCACCACACAGACCAAGGACACCGTAGCAGGACCAAAGCACAGGAACCCAGAGCAAGTTGATGCAAGCAAAGAAACAAGAAAAAACCCCTGCTTTTGCAAACAACCTCGCTGCTGGGTTGCAGAAGGAGCCGGGCTGACTCGCAGTGTTTCATTTGGACTCCGGCTAGGAAGCTGCAGCAGCCACCGAAAACTAAAAAGCCTGAATGAACGGCAGCTTTCATATTATGCATCCTGCTAAGCGACAGCAAGGAGAGTAAAAGACAGAGGGGTCTGAGACACAAGGTAAGTTAAAGGGATCGGAATAAGTTTGGGGAAGAAATACTATTGCTATAGGGAATTAAGTGATCCCACCTTGCAGCAGCAGGTTGCTTGGGTGAGCCACAAAAAGAGGTGATCTCTGCCTGTGCTGCTTTATCTTGCTTTTTCTGCTTGGCTGCAGCAGGCGAAATAAGGGCAAGGCCAGGTTACTGCTGAGCTGGCTTTAATTTGTTCCTGCTATTAACCACCCTTAGCACACCAGAACGATGCTGCCCTGCGGTCTGGTTGTGCTCCTGGCTGTGGCCGAGCTGTAGGATGGGGATGGAGATGGGGATAGGGATGGATTTGCTGCAGGCAGTGGAGCCCAGTTAAGGAAGGAGCTGTGTCCACAGACGTGGGAAGTCTCGGGGGACTCTGCTTCCCCAGCCTCAATGGGGAAACCACAACCGTGCTGCTCTGGGGCCATGAGCAGGGGTTTGCAGTGGTGCTGTGCAGGGATGGTCCTGATACTCCCAGCACCCAGGTCCTGGTGTTGTCAGCACCCGTTATCCTGGTGCTCCCAGCCACCCAGCCGGGACAGCACCGCGTGATCCCCACCGTGAGGACAACTCTGCTGCTTTATTGATTTTTATTTCCTGGAGCGGCTGAGTCAGTGCTGGCAAAGCCACAGGAAAGCTGCCTTTCTGCTGGGATGGGTGGAAGAGAGCTGGGTGCCAGCCACCTCGTCAGGGTGATGTGTTATATCAAAGGAGCTGCCCTGGGAATGACTTACTGTAAAACATGTCCTGAATCACCTGCTGGGCTGGCGATGGGGACCAGACCGCGCTCAAGGAGCCACTTGGCCTGGATCAGGGCCACTTCCAGGACATTGCAGGCATGGAAGAGGAGAAGGAGAGAGGGAAAAGTTATTACTTTAGGGCCATCAAACATCCTTTTGCTCCCTGTTTGCACTAAGTGTTATACAGCCCTTGCCACAGACCATGCATAGATGCAGGTGCCCAGGACTGTTTCCATAGGGGCACAGCATCTCCTCCCATATAATCTGCAGGGAATCATGTTAAATTCATAAAAATCCCTAGGTGTAAGTGTGTGCAGGGCATAGGCAGGGATATTTGCTTGGGATCCTCACCTCTTCCCGTGCCTGGTGGATGAAACAGCAGCTGGAGAGGGCATGTGAAGCATGGAGCTGCTTCTTGGGGACATGTACCAGTGGTGGTGAAGGTGTTTCACAGCTGTTCCCATACAGAGGAATTAGGGCAATTCACCCATTTTTGGAATAGGAACATGCTAAAAAGCACCAGAAAACAAAAAACAAAGCAGATCATCTCTAGCAGCGCTCCCAAAGCCTCTTCTGCTTCACCCCAGCACCGTTGTATAAACACTGCAGACAAGAGGGCGTTAACATCCAAGTGTAGTGCAAACCACTACAGGCAGCGGAAATTTTTAAATGACGTTGCTTTTTGGGATCCAAATACTCTCGTCTGCGAGCCCTCAAGTCACTTCATGGCTGTGGATGGGCTCCGGATGCTCAGCTGGAGCTCAGCATCCCTGCAGCATCGCAGCGGAGAGGGGCTGCCCCACAGCTGAGCTGTCGCAGCTTTGCCTTGGAAAACGCACAGGCTCCTTCAGCATTTTAGGCTTTTCTACAAGAAATTGCTCCTGAAGAAATCTGAGATCCTCCCGAGGAAGAAAATAATAATAATAATAATAAAATAATCCCACACAAATAATTTCCAAGAGGAAGTCCCGCGTCCAGACAAGCCCAGCCCTAAGGATGCTTCGTTTCCTGCTGCTGGCGATGCGGGATCTGGAGTCGTGAGGAGGTGGAGGTTTGAAAGAAGACAAAAAGGTAAAAAACCCACAATTTTTTCCATCTCTGGGCCGATGCCGAGGTTCGAGGCTGACACATCCATGTGTTTTCCATCTCTGCGGCACAAGAAAGGCTTTTAGGTTTAACTGCCCTCTTGGGTTTTCGGTCAAGATTTGTCATGGGTTAAAATGGGCGGTGGCTGGCGCTGCCCTGTGCGTTGAAAAGCAAAGACAGTCAGAGATTGCTTTTCCAAGTGAAGCCCTGAGAATAACAGGAAGGAAAATGTTAGCAGAAGTTTAATGAGCAAATCAGGGATCCAAGAGCAATTTGCACCTCATGAACTCTCAATATCACACAGTTAATTAGGGGGTTTATTCTCTGAGCATCCCTACAAGGTAAGGATGTGCTCCCAGTCAAAGACAGGCCTGGGAAAACCCTTTGGTCCAGCCTCTGGGCTGACTTACTTCGCATTCTTGCTTTATTTTCTCTCTGTGCAGAGCAAGGAAGCTGTTTTTGCAGATATTAGGGGGATTTCTTACGATTTCTATGGCCCCGATGTGCTGCTTCAGATCAGAGCATTAAAATCCTTCAGGTACAGGGAATGATTAAGCAGCTTTGCATGAGCAAATGTGCCGCATACAGAAGCTGTCTACTTTGAGCTGAAAGATTAAACTCAATCATGAACCGAAAAAAAGATCAATCAAGGTGCTCTCTGCAGCTGTAATAGCATCAAGAAAATGTATTTAAATAAGAAGTTGCACACAAGGAGAAAGAAACACATTATTTAAGGCCCTGAACTGGAACTAATGGTTTCTGCCCTTCCCCAGCAAAGGTTTGTGGCATCTCTCAAACTCTACATGGGAGGAATTTGGCTTTTTTTGCTGGCAGACACCAGAAATGCCAGGAGCCACTGGAAAACCAGCACTTTTGATGCAGATTATTCATAGCATGCTAAACAATGTGTAAATAAAAAGCTTGATGGAGTGTATTTAAGCCAGGTTTACTTCCAAGGTCAGTGCAGAGCAAAAATAAGTTCTTTAATGATCTGTTATGCATTGATCGAGCTTGGTAAAGGCCAGAAAACAGCATCCATGGTTTGGGTGTAGCATCCCCAGCAGCACCATGCAAGGGCTCTGCACCCATTAAAGGGTCCTTCAGACAGACAGACAAACCAACCCTTTCCAAAGGGTCTGAACAACAGCAGTGCTTGAATTTAATGCACTTAGACTGGTATTTTCACTTGGTTTTTTTTCTTCCAGGCAGAAATACCTGAGCAAACAACCCCTTTTGGTAATATTTCAATATTGTCTTTCTACTCAGAAATGTAAATGGGGAAGAAAAGGGACAGAAAAAGCAAACAGACTTTTTAAACTGGAGCTAAAGGGTGCTTTCAGCCAAGGAAATCTTTCATTACATTTCAACAGCTCTCCAACAATAACACGTATCCTAATGTTATAATGAACATGAGCAAACACCGGCCATCCTCATCACCAGAACTCACTGAAATTAACTGCCTTTTCATCAGGTTCAGAAGTCTCATCTCATCATTCCTCCTCAATTTTCATTTTGTTTGCTGAAATATTGGCCAGAAGGGAGATCTGCCCATTTAGCACACCCAGAATTTCTTCCTTAGCATCAGATTAAATCCCCACTTGGTTGGAGAACGTGGTGTGGGGCTGTCAGCTCTAGGATGCCCTGAATTGACTGGATTGTGACAACATTTGCTTCATGTTTTTTTATTTCAGATGCAATTTCTAGCCAATAACTTGAATAATTGATCTTCATGAATCATGCAGGTGGCCACGATTTCTTTGGGATTACAGTGATGTAAGCTGTGCACAACCTGAACACTGATTTTTCACCCAGGCTTTTATATTTTCCCCCCTTGAAGTCACTTGTAAAAATAGGAAAGCCATTCATCTTAGGAAGAATAATGGCCTATAAAAATGTAAAGTAATTTCTTCTTATTTATGAATCCTTTCCCTTCTGCTCGTTATGAGCAACCCTCTTAATGAATGCTCTTTCTCCTTCATGGAGGTATATTATGAGCAATTATGGCCTCTGGTTTTAATGTTCTGATAATGTAATCAAATGCCCTTTACTTTATCCCCAGGTTATTGACTACCCACACTCCCGAGTTAAATATCTTTCAGTCTTACAGAGGATATGTTGGCCATGATTGCCTGGGACTGAGTGAATATGGGGTCTTCTTTAGAGCATTCTGTATATGCACAAACTGTAATCACAGCAGAGGAGACTCCAAATCCTCTCAGGCTGGATATTTAAGACCTGCTGTCCATTTAGGTTTGCAGAGCATTTCTGTTCCTGTTTGGCATCAGGAGAGAATGGAAATTAAAAAGGATTTAATGAAAATCAGGTGCTGAACACTGATATCAAAGGAGTATTAAATCCTCCTCAGACTCGTACCTGGAATGAGGTGCAATTATGACCAGAAAGATCATTTCAAGTTATGACAGATCTGATGAAAGCACTTTCGTTGCTGTCAGAAGGGAAGTTATGATGTTGCTGCTAATAAGTATTCATCGGGTTTCCAGGGAGCTGCATTACACCAAGTAATAAAAGGTGTGAATGACTTCTTTTGGGGCAGGTAAGGACCAGAAGAAAGCATCTTCCAAAAAGTGTCAGTACAAACCAAACACCTTGCCCCAGACTGATTGTTTTTTTGGTCATATTTTCTCAATTGGTCCATTTTGTGCCCAGTGAAGCCTTTGTGGAGCTCCACGATCCCTTCCTTTCCTCTGCAGATGGGACCTGTGTCTTCATTGAGCCATTTCAGAACATCCAGCTACCCTTTCCTCACCTATTCCTGGGATTAAAGCTGGTGGAAGAGGAGCTGTAAAGACCACTCCCAGTCTGGGCTCAACATGAGTACATTGACTAATTGGGCTTTGGATACTGTCCAGAAAGGCATCAGTCTAAAATCTATCTTATAATCAGTAGAATGATGCTAATTAGACATGGTATCAGGAGACGGCTGCCTGTCTCCAGCTCCAGTCCCTTCCTAGGATGGAGGCCGATGGGGACCTAAGGAAAATTCATCTCCTTTGCACCACCTGAAATATTTTCTCTGTTCCTTTCACCCAGCAGCAAAGGAAAATATAATATATTATTGCAAAAACCTATTGTTTGTGCAGAGCAAATCCCAGATCAGCCTGTTTGTGGCAGCTGTTTGGCTTTCCATTCCTCCCACTGGAAAATAAAAGTGGAAAGCATACACAGAAATTCTGCTAAGAAGAGCACATGGATATGGTCAAAGCCACAAACTGCTTGGCAAAGTCACCTTAGAAAGAGGCAACCAGCAGGAGGCTGTGGGATGCTGTGTAAAGAGGCAAAGTGGTCGTGGTTTCTTCTAGTTCCACTTCCCTTCAGGATTTTCCTATTAAAAAAAAAAAATCAGGTTTAGGCTCTATATTTAAATGAAGCTTCATTTTCTGCATCTGATTTTGGATTTTTCGGGATGGTGATGCATTAAACAAATCAACAGAGCAACGCTTCATGTCTTTCACCCAGCACCTTTAACAAGGGCAGCAAGCATGCCTGGAGCAGAGCTTGCTACAGCTTTAGACATCTCAGCCTTAGCTTCCAATTTAAGCAGGTTTGGGGCTTTTTTTCCTCCTTTCTTTTATTTACCTGGTATCTCTGGTCAGATATTTCAACTGTAGTTAATGGGAAACAGGGATTGCCCTTTCCATTGCTTGTAAACAGTACGCGGCAGGGCTCTCGGCCTACCTGGAGACTCCTGGTGCCACCAGAAGATAAGGCAATAATTAATCAGAGGCAATGCACCTTGAGGTACCATTAACAGATGGCCTCTGATTTGCTAATAATTTCTGCTCCTTTGCTCGGTCCAGCTGGCTCCACTGAAGATGAGCACCGTGATCCTCCTGATTTTGGTGTCCACATTGAACGTCGGCGCTGAGCTGGAGAAGGGCCTGCCGAGACGGGAGCCGCGGCGCCTCTCGTGTGTGCGATGCTGCGGGCCTTCAGAGCAGCCCGTCTCCATCATCTCCTCACGATACACCAGGATGAGCAGCGACCCTGCCTATTCAGTACCCAAAGTCCAGCCCACTATAGACATCACCATCCTCAAAGGTGGGTAAAGCCAGCTACCATGACAACATCCTTTATCTTCACTCGTTCACCCTCATTTTGCAAGCTGTGCTCATCTCCACACCAAGATTATCCACTGTATTTACCTTAAAGAAGGTGAAGGGGTGATGTGGCACTGGCCATAAATGCCTGCATGTGAGAAAAGTTGGCAAAAGACTCTTATTCATCAAAAACCAGAAACACTGGGAGCTCAGGCTAGGTTACACTTAAAACCAGATGCAAAAGTTTTCACATTAAGCAGCAGTTAAAAAAATAGGAGAGATGCTCACTCATTTTATCCATTGGAGTTTTTTTGTCTCAGTAAGGCAGTGAAAATTAAGCATATAAGAGAAGATGTGCCAGGGAGACACTGACCAAACCCAACCACCTCTCCCAGGCCCAAACCAGACCTAACTCAGTAACTTTTCTTGCCCAAACCTCTGCATGAAGGGGCTGGGTCCATGAACACTGGTTTCATGCAACCAGTCTGGTCAAGCCATGGAGTTCCACTGTTGGACACTGAACATTGGCACCACAAGCTCAGTGGGGCCAAGCTTTCACTTGACATCTTTTACCCTTCTGAAAATTAGGAGGGTGCTGGTGTCTGACCAGTGCTTCCAAATATCTGTGTTGGAAAACCAGCATTTTAGCAGCTGCTTCGCTGTTTGTCTCCAGCAAAGATGTGTCTGCAGCTTGGCCTTTGCATCCCTGTGTTTGACAAGGTTTTCCTTTATGCTCACAGGTGAGAAGGGCGAAATGGGAGAGAAAGGGTACCCTGGAGCGGTTGGGAAGGAAGGAGAAAGAGGATTACGTGGCTTTAATGGACGGAAAGGCCAGAAAGGCCAACCTGGCCCTCAGGGCCATTCCTGCAAGCAGCTCTACGCCGCGTTCTCGGTGGGTCGCAGAAAACCCCTCCACAGCTCGGACTACTTCCAGCACGTCACTTTCGACACCGAGTTCGTCAACCTCTACAAGCACTTCAACATGTTCTCGGGGAAGTTCTTCTGCTACGTGGCAGGGGTCTACTACTTCAGCCTCAACGTCCACACCTGGAACTTCAAGGAGACCTACCTGCACTTGATGAGGAACGAGAAAGAGGTGGCCATCCTCTACGCCCAGCCCAGCGACCGCAGCATCATGCAGAGCCAGAGCCTGATGCTGGACCTGCAGGAGGGAGAGGAGGTCTGGGTGAGGATGTTCAAGCGGGAGCGAGAAAACGCCATTTACAGCGAGGAGTCTGATGTTTACATCATCTTCAATGGCCATTTGATCAAGCCAGCCGTAGAGTAGCCATCCAGCAGCTTTTAGGCTCAAAGCTTTGGTAGATACATTAGTGTCTTCCCTTTTAGAAATACATTTGTCTACAGCACCTACTCCAGGTCTGCTCCACTCAGGTAGGCAAGAATGCACCGTGTTAAGAACAAGATTTTGCACAGTGCATTTACCCTGACTTATATTTTTCTTCCATTTGATATAATAATACACCCTGAAAGCATAATGCTAGAATTAGATAAACAGCAGCATATTGAGCTGGCAAAGCTTTTTCGAAGGCACACGGTCAAAGCCACGTGCTCTAACTTTGCCAGACTTCTGTTCTGCTAGCAATACTTTGCACACAAAAACCTCCAACATTGCTGGCAATGTATTTCCCTTTTTAAGGAAAATGATGGGTCCTGCCTTAGGACCCAATTTCAGTGCTCAGTGCCCAGCCAGAATTTGAGGCTATGCTCAGATCTGAAAATTACCACCCCATAGCACCCTCATTTCTGGGGAGTGGAGAAGAAAATTGGAAAGAAAAGGTGCTTTACTGCAAGCAGCAATACTTTAGGGGATTTATTTTCTTCTTTCCTAAAAACTTATGGATCTAACAGTGGAAAGGTACACACAGCAGCAAGAAACAACCTTTTCTCCTTGCTCACCCCCCCCTGTTTGCATCCCGAGCTGTTTCTATGAAGGATACATGAAAAGTTCTCGCTGGGCAAACTGCTTCACTGCTGCACCTCGCCAAGCCACAGCGGTTCCAAAAAGCAGCCGAAATAAAGATATTGCTTTGTGTACCCTGGTTTTGTTCATCTTATCTCCATATGCTTCACAGTACAGGGCTAAAAGCGCTGAACTGAATATCCAGTCCCATACAATACTCTCGGGTGGCAATTTGAGTTACTTTACCACCAGAGGACTCCAGTTACTGACCCCTTGTTGTAAGATAAACACCAAATCTTTGAGATTTCACAAGGAAATTTTGAATAGCCTGCCTGCAAAGTAAAGGCACGATGGAAATGGGTTTAAAAGCTGTGAAACACCGGCTCTGCTGATGCTTCCATCATAGCCTGCAACACTGAAAACACCAAAAGTGGGAGCACAGCTTTTGAAAAAAATTTCTAAAAATTTATTGTTTTTTTTTAAAAAAGCTTTAAAAAAAACACTCCTAAGGGCATTTTATGCAGCTCCTGCTGTCAGCTACCTCAGCTGATTTTGGAGAAGTTACTTTCTACCAGGAAGCAGGCAAAAATCCGTCCATTCATCCATCCATCCATCTCACTATCTATGCACATCTCCATAGCATCTAAGCACACAGATTATTGGAGCAATAGGACACATTCAGAATGCCATGACTGATGTGCCAGTGGCATAAGCAGGTAAATCACTAAGGCCGCACTGGTTTGAGGTGCAAAATAACCTTTCAAATAATAAAAAATACTATTGGGTTGCATACATTATTCAGATCACTCATTTATAGCATAAAAGGACCAGAAGTCTCAACCCGATGAGTTCTTCTGGGGGAAAAAAATTGAAATATCTACAAAGCTTAATAGACACAGACATTTCTACTGCCACCTTTTGAATGCATCCATCAATGTTTTCCAACTTCGAGGGCTGGGAGAAGCATCTCTGTTTAGAGAAGTTTAATGAGCCAAATCCAAAGCACAAATATTTGAGATCTGCTCATCAATACACAGGCAGCCTGCCAGGGTCTTTCTTATAGGAACAGAATTTAAATCTCTATTTTTCTCCTGCATTGTGTGGCTTGGAAACTAAACTTTGAGAAAGCTTTTTAAGTTGTTTTTTTGAAGAGAAGGAAGTGGGGGGTTTAAGTGCTGAAATCTAAATGGAAAGGAAGCAACTCAAGCTGTATTTAATTTTCCAATTATTTCCCTAAATTGGGACTTTTTATTTCATGCTTTGGAATAAGACACCAGGGATTGGTCAAAAATCTTTTTTCCAAACCTCTCAATGAACACCATTGCACTGAAATGGCAAAAGTGCCTCTGCTGCCATAAATCCCAGGTGCATTTCATTCAAACATCAGGGTCCTTGTGGAAGGTGAGGCCCCCATGGTACAAAGCACCAATAAACCAATTTGCCAAATTAACCTGGAGGCAAGACCAAAAATTAGGGAAGCAGGGAAACCTGCTGATATCATATACAAGGAGCTGTAAATGAAATACTATGAAAAACATCAGATAAGAAGTATCTACCCCTAAAAAATCTCTTCTGGTTGGTATAGAAAGATTAAATCAGGCTTTAAGGCGACATGCCTTTTATTTTCTGATCACAAATCTGCATGAGATTTACACTTGTAGCCCAAACTTCGGCAATAAGGAGGAGATGAACTCAGGGAACATCCTCTCCTTCACTTCTTTGGTATCAGAGCCCCAGGAAAGCACCTCACAAGGAGCAAGTGTGCTGGGACAGCATCTGTCCTTGTGTCAAAAGGGTGATGGATGGCAGAGAGCAAGGAAATGACCTGCCCAAATCCACTGGGGTACGGCAAGATTTATGTTCCATATCAGGAAAAAACACTTCAAGCAGAAGGAAAGTCAGGCTCTGCACAAGAGACGAGCTCTCCATCCCAGGAAATCTTCAATAGCATCCCACCCCTTTAACATGCTTTTTCTGCAGATTTAAGTTGTGGCTTTTTATTTTTACTATTGTTGAGAAAAGCCTGAAGAAGCCTCAAGAAGTAGTTCTCACTAAAAATCACCATATGAAGAAGCTGAGCCAGGCTTGCTTTCACACCGCTTTAAACACGCTTCAGTGGCAATTCCCAGTGTCACAAACCCACCCATAAGAAATCCCACAGCACAGCTCAGTAATTGCCCCATTGAATCCACTGCTTAAGCCTGGTTTATGACTTATAAATGCACTTATTCCCTGCCCTTCCTTACACGATTGCACTAAATGAAGCATTGCAATAGGACCTGCAGGATTTCTGCAGAGCCCTTACTTAGCCATGTAATTGCTCTGTAACTTGTTTCTGCTCATTTTCTCAGTTCTTACCTCATAGACATAAGACAGGAATAAAAAATAGTAATAAAAAATATCTTTTCACTCACAGACTTAACCTAAAACCACCACTTCTCTGTGTCCAAAGACAGACACATCTGATTTATAACAGGGTCTGACTTTCTTTTCCCTATAAACTAAAAAATAATACAGATTTTTAATGTCCCTTCCCTGAAGCAGAAGTCAGGGATGATACTTGAGCTCATCTTTATATGGAGAAGCAGCAAACTAGGTGGAGTCCACCTGAGCCTGCCTTAATGAGCCCAGGGCCTATATAAGGCAGCAACAAAAAGCTCTGGGCTTGTTATGGGTCGTAAGTTGTTTTTTTGTAGGTTTAATAAGTAAAGTGCTAGGCAAAAAAACCTGCATAAGTTTTTCTTTAGTATTTAAGAGAGGTTTAGTAAATGCATTATATTTTTTTACAGTACTCTGAATAAGTATATATGTGTATATATATAGATATGTGTATGTGTATATATATAGATATGTGTATGTGTATATATGTTTATATACATATATATATATACACATATATATTTTTTCTTCTCCGAGATGAGCTACAGCAGTGCTGGGTGTGAGGGTGCTGTTACAGGGCCCCTTCTTGGGTCCTTTTGCTGCTCCTGCAACTTCTTCCCTGACCTGGAAGACCTTGCTCATAAAGAATTAAGTGTCTTTTTGTGCAGTCTTTTGGGAAAAAATGCTGCAACTCCTCAGAAATGCTCCCTTCACAGAGGTGTTAAAGGGCTCACAGTCCTGGTGGTGACAAGCTGCCAGTGCTGGGGTCAGTGGCCCTCACAGAGCTGTTGGAGCTCCTGGTACCTGGCTGGGCTGGGGTTCAGGGTTTCTGCTGCCAAATAGCACTGAGGAAACTGAAACCTCTGTGTGCTCCCTGTTTGCTCTCCTAATTACTCTGTTCCTGTGCGCTTGCATCTGGGCAGACCCTGCTGCTCCTTACCATCAGCTTCGTCTGCACTGATTAAACTTCTGAACTCATTCAAGACTCCAAGACTCTTCTGATGAGCTGCAAAGCAAAACTCATCTCCTTTAAGCACTTAGAGTGCTGTCTAATTCTTAATAAATAGAGCAGCAGGATTAGGTTTTCCTCTTGCTGTAGGTCTAGCAGGGAAGCTGAAGCATGGATAATTGCCTGGCTTGCAGCCCTGTGGTGACTATGAGTAGTCAGGGCCACATGAGAAGAGGATGGACATTGCCCCAGAAGCAAACTATTAAAGCAGTCTGGCTCCTGTCCTCTCTTCATGTGCTTGTGCTCTCCTGGTTGGGCTCATCCTTCTGCTCCCTGCTCTACAGCAACTCTCTGAGCCAGGCTTAGGGCTGCCAAACCTGCAATCTCGCTCTGTGCTCGGTCTTTCAACTCTGCTCTTCAAACCCAATTCCTTGATTTGATTTCAGCCTGCAGTGATCACCCATCCCTGCTGTAATCGCAGCTCTCTTCTGGCTGATCATAAGCTTAGCAGAGGCTGTGAGCTAGTGTAAATCAGGCTTTTTCCAGCTAAAGAAGACTGCAAAATCCCTATTCTGCCAACTTTCACTCAAAATATTACATTCCTTTAAGCCCTAGCTCTTTGTGTGGGTCTCTTTTCTGCCTGAAAATGTTCACAATGGGGGCTGACAGGAAATGTGCTTCTCCCCAGCAGCAGTTTAGTGGTTCTCCATCATCCCATGTAGGGGATGAAACCTCTCTGCAGGTAATCAAGTTCTGCAAGCAGCGGTCACATAAGAACTATAAACCTTAGGGTTGCTCACCTCCTCCCCTTGCAGGGATGCTGCAATCTGTTGCTGCAGGGGTATCCACCAGGGGAGGGTTAGATTGGATATGAGGAAAAATTTCTTCACTGCAAGAGCAGTCAAGCACTGGCAGGGGCTGCCCAGGGCAGTGGTGGAGCCCCCATCCCTGGAGGGGTTCAAAACCATGTGGATGTGGCACTTGGGGACATGGTTTAGTGTCCATGGTGGGGCTGGGTTGACATTGGACTTGATCCTAG